GTCAGGGGGCGGACCCCCGTCTTTGGTTTCCTAGGGTTCAGGGGGCTGACCTCTTTCCTTGGCTCCTTAGGGGTCAGGGGGCGGACCCCGTCTTTGGCTCCTTAGGGTTCAGGGGGCTGACCCCTTATCTTGGCTCCGTAGGTGTCAGGGGGCGGACCCCCGTCTTTGGCTCCTTAGGGTTCAGGGGGCTGAACCCTTCCCTTGGCTCCATAGGGGTCAGGGGGCGGACCCCGTCTTTGGCTTCCTAGGGTTCAGGGGGCTGAGCCCTTCCCTTGGCTCCGTAGGGGTCAGGGGGCTGACCTCTTTCCTTGGCTCCTTAGGGGTCAGGGGGCGGACCCCCGTCTTTTGCTTCCAAGGGTTCAGGGGGCTGACCCCTTCCCTTGGCTCCGTCGGGGTCAGGGGGCGGACCCCTTTACCTTGGCTCCGTAGGGGTCAGGGGGCGGACCCCCGTCTTTGGCTTCTTAGGGTTCAGGGGGCTGAACCCTTCCATTGGCTCCGTAGGTGTCAGGGGGCGGACCCCCGTCTTTGGCTTCTTAGGGTTCAGGGGGCTGACCCTTTCCCTTGGCTTCTTAGGGGTCAGGGGGCGAACCCCCGTCTTTGGCTTCCTAGGGTTCATGGGGCTGACCCCTTCCCATGGCTCCGTAGGGGTCAGGGGGCGGACCCCCGTCTTTGGCTTCCTAGGGTTCAGGGGGCTGACCCCTTCCCTTGGCTTCTTAGGGGTCAGGGGGCGGACCCCCGTCTTTGGCTCCTTAGGGTTCAGGGGGCTGACCCCTTCCCTTGGCTCCTTATGGGTCAGGGGGCGGACCCCCGTCTTTGGCATCCTAGGGTTCAGGGGGCTGAACTCTTTCCTTGGCTCCTTAGGGGTCAGGGGGCGGACCCCCGTCTTTGGCTTCTTAGGGTTCAGGGGGCTGACCCCTTCCCTTGGCTTCTTAGGGGTCAGGGGGCGGACCCCCGTCTTTGGCTCCTTAGGGTTCAGGGGGCTGAGCCCTTCCCTTGGCTCCGTAGGTGTCAGGGGGCGGACCCCCGTCTTATGCTTCCTAGGGTTCAGGGGGCTGACCCCTTCCCTTGGCTCCGTAGGGTTCAGGGGGCGGACCCCCGTCTTTGGCTTCCTAGGGTTCAGGGGGCTGACCCTTCCCTTGGATCCGTAGGGGTCAGGGGGCGGACCCCCGTCTTTGGCTTCCTAGGGTTCAGGGGGCTGACCCCTTCCCTTGGCTCCTTAAGGGTCAGGGGGCGGACCCCCGTCTTTTGCTTCCAAGGGTTCAGGGGGCTGACCCCTTCCCTTGACTCCGTAGGTGTCAGGGGGCGGACCCACGTCTTTGGCTCCTTAGGGTTCAGGGGGCTGAACTCTTCCCTTGGCTCCGTAGGGGTCAGGGGGCGGACCCCCGTCTTTGGCTTCTTAGGGTTCAGGGGGCTGACCCCTTCCCTTGGCTCCGTAGGTGTCAGGGGGCGGACCCCCGTCTTTGGCTTCTTAGGGTTCAGGGGGCTAACCCCTTCCCTTGGCTTCTTAGGGGTCAGGGGGTGGACCCCCGTCTTTGGCTTCCTAGGGTTCAGGGGGCCGACCCCTTCCCATGGCTCCGTAGGAGTCAGGGGGCGGACCCCCGTCTTAGGCTTCCTAGGGTTCAGGGGGCTGACCCCTTTCCTTGGCTCCTTAGGGGTGAGGGGGCGGACCCCCGTCTTTGGCTTCCCAGGGTTCAGGGGGCTGACCCCTTCCCTTGGCTCCTTAGGGGTCAGCGGGCGGACCCCCGTCTTTGGCTCCTTCGTCCCGGCCTTTTTGCGGTAGTCCGTCCTTTGCTTGAGATCTATTAGTCGCCTTCAAATGGCCGGGTATGCAAAATGACTTCCGTGACGCACGAATAGTGGTATCAGAATTTTGCATTAAGTTTACGGGTTAATTTGAAGGCGCTCATCTGTATCCATTGTGAGTGGCCTTGTTCGACGATGTTGACCAAAGAGGATCATATTTTTGGGTTTTAAATCGAGCCGCACATTCGAAAAATGCCGAGGAATATTATTTTGAAAATATTATAAGATTGTTTTTGGTCGCAACGTCTTTTTTCAAAGAAGATAGCGGAGGCGGCTGGATCAGATTGTGTATTTTAAGTCCCTTGGTTCGGTTATCGTATTCTGATGCGAAACTGATAGAGTTGCCGTTTACATGATCGCAACTTACTTAAAAGCGGTTGTGAATTTACAAAGTTTCCCACGGATAAAATGCGAGCTTTCTTTGATTAACTGTGAATAATCAAAATTGAAGATGTCGCATCGCGTGCGGCCCGTGACGCCTCACCACAAGCTGTAGCCGCGAGCGTTAAGAAAGCCAGAACGCCTTCCATTTTTTCGTATGCAACACGCACACCCACAGAGTACGAATAGTTGTATCACGGTGCCTTGATCAACTGCGCATTAGCATCCCGTCAATTTGTCAATATATCGACTCTGCCGTGCTAGAGAATGAAGCAGTTTGAACCATGTAACGTCGTCAAATTTCTTAAAAATGAAACAAGTTCTCAGAGAAATTTGAGATCGTTCTTCTTGCAATTATTTAGATAATTTAATTATAAAATTAACCTGAAGTAATTGAAAATCCCCAGAGAAAATATTCCTAACGCCTCCTGAAAATGAATATTTTATCGCCCCTTGCGTTTCATTCTTTGCGTTTAGATTGAAGATGCGGGAATTTTCAACAGACAGAGTACAATAGTTATTTTTTTAAATCATAAACAAGAAGAAAAAGTCTGTAATGCCTTACAGACTCATTTTTGCTCTCATATTCGCTTTAAGGCGAATAAGCGGTAACGATGTTCACACATCAGTTAGGTAAAATTAATTTTAAACGCAAGTAAAACTTTTTGACAGCCAACAATCCAACATTTACGGCCGATATGTTATCCTTTTTAATCAATTGATTTCCTACCCCAAAATTAGTACTGAAATTCCCTTCCGTCTTGATTGTTGATTGCATTTTAGTAATTTATTTTGATTCATTTTATTATTTTTTTTCATTTTATAATTGAATCATTTTGTTACAATGTTCCGTTTTATCATTCTCTAACCCACTTGGGGTTTTATAACCAGGCAACCTCTAGTGCATAAAGTAAAACCTAAAAGATTGAAGCATCAGTAACTTTTTTACAAGTTTTCAAAGTTTCAAAAAGAGCGCGCCAGTCACTTTCCGGTAAGGGACTCACGCACTCGATCCATTTTATCGAGTTGGGGGTCAAAACAATCGCAAAGGCGGGATACTACGTATACTCGCCAATTAGGAAATCTGTCCTTTGAGCCAAGAGGGCTTTCAAAGCTTTTAAGATAATGCCTTTGACGACCACTAATCTCTAGCTTTAACGCTGTGCTCTACGAAATTTTTCGTTTACTTCTAGGAGGATTAAGGTGGATGATTGAAATAATTAAAAATCCATTTTGATCGGTGAGAAAGTTTATCCCGTTAAGAAATGAAAACTTCCGCAGCGGTGGAAGACGATAATTGAAATCATCCTGCGGGATTATTGTTTTAATAGCGTTTTAAAACCCAATCGTTGAAAAGACACAGCGAAAATATTCCGCTTTCTGTCTTTCTCACCGAGCACATTTTGCAGACATATAATTAAATCAAGCACTGTGATGAATGTCCTATCCAGAATTGAGATCGACTGTAGACACTCACCCACAAAAGATTACGTGTTATTGACTGAGCTGCCTTAATTTTTCGTTGAATTAAATACCTACCCTCAAAAAGAAAAAAGAATTTTTTTTTTTTGGAGAGGCATTGATTCAAGCAGTGACAGGCATTTTAAAATTTCATAAAGTATTCAAAGTTTTGGAAATTTCTCCGCAGACTTATTTGAAACAATCTCCTGTGAAAAATTAAAGAAATATGCCTGTTCTGCCTTGATATAGCAATGAAAGGAGTAAAAGAAAAAATGAAGTCTTGAGAAAACGGGCTCAGAAGCGTCTGACCAGAAAATTTTATCGAAAGAAGCCTCGGTTCTCTGTCAAATTGTGAACATTTCATGAAATTTATTCGTATTAAACTTCATGATCGTTGAAACTTTTGGGGATGCATACGGGAGGCCAATAATAGCCTAGAAACCGTGATTCTCGATTTTGACATTTTTCACCCCGACCCTAAAACATTCACGACTTGCAAATATTTTCATCTAGTTTAGAGCGTTAGATCGGGGCTAAATTTCTCTCTAAACTCCCCTTTGTGCCACCTTCATGTATGGCACCTCAGTATAGGGTAGTATATTACCGCCGCATCAACAGGAAGACCATCTGAAACGCGCTTCCCAAACTCCGAAGGTTTAATTCATAGTTCCGTTAAAAATTAACAAATTTCAAATTTTGTGAAATTAATTCTAGCCTTTTGAAATTTTATTTTCCGTCGCTGCATGAAAGCAGAAGGAAAATCGATTTCAGTTAGAATGCCCAAGATTCTCCCGGTATAAATGCAATTCGTGCGGAATAATTGGCAACATTGAAATGAGGGGCTTAGAAGACAAGTCGCATGAGTGCAATTTCTGCTCTTTCGCGAGAAAAAGTGTTTAAAGTTTCGAAATTACATGGACCCTTACGGCGGAAAGTAAGTTCACACAGACTTTTTTATGCTTAAAAATTGGAATTTCGGAGCCAATTTCTCGTAGAGTATGCTTTCAGACCAGTGTTACTTGAAATCATTAACGCTTCGAGTTTTTAAAAAAAAATTGCACTTATGCGCCTTGTCCTCAGAGCCCCTCAAATGGACTTATATCTATCAAACAGAATTATATGCATTATGACATGAGCCCTGAGACCCATAAGAATATGTGCATAACAGGGCTCATGTCATAATGCACATAGTTCCGTTCGATACAAATACGTCCAAATGTAGTTACGCTCTCTCGTGACACAGAATGACCTATAGTTGCTGGAATGTAATAGATGAAGCTGAAATTGAGCTCAAGAGCCATTTGAAAGTTGAAGTTGGTAAAGAGTAATGACGGAGATAATTTTCGTGGACTTACCTTGGGGTACCTCAATATTTCTATGTGAGGGTACTGGGTTCTCATTCCGTAGATGGGGTATTTAAGCTCGCCGACGAGGGAGTCATTAAAACTCGCGTACGCCAGATACCGCCCGTCCGGCGAGAACCACACTCCGCTCCCGCTCTTGAAAATCTCCTCTGCAAAAGACAAAAACTCATCAGTTGCCTTAGACTTAGTTTCCCAACTTAATCAGTATTCATGGAACTCCTCCTCCGAGGACAGACCTCTCCATACTGCTAGCCATCTCCCAGACGCATCATCTCGACAATTGTCCATGAAATCGCGTCACCCAATGTCCTTTTCAATACTGCCGTACTGAGGAAGAACGCCGTATGGACATTCAAGAGTTGCCAAATTTCCTTCGATAAAATGTTTATTTTCGAGGCAAGTTATGAATAATTTTCCTTGAAATTTTCAGGAACTTTAGGTGAAATTGCGATCAAAATTATCTGAAAAATTAGGAGGAAAATATTCATATGTTTACCAGGAAATTTGTGTTTTATCCAAGAAAATTTGGCAACGCCTGAGGGTTCATACGGTTTTTTTCTTAAGCACGGCAGTATTAAACATGTACTCGTGAGGAAAGTTTTCCATAGTTTACTTTGAAATTGCCAGATATTTTAGATTATATCGCTAAAAAATCGTCCAAAAATTTGGAAAAAAAATATTCACAATTTTTCGTATAAATTTGGCTTGTATTGAGGGAAATATGGCAACACTTGGAGGCTCATATGGCGTTTTACCTTAGCATGGTACAATAGGCGATACTTTCATTAAGATCGTTCGGATAGCGCTGAGCAAACCAGCCACATCTCCATGCGGGGCCTTTTTGAATAGAGGTTATCAGTTCGGCGATGAATTTTGGTTCAATTTAGTCAAATGGAGATTGAATTTGGTGTATAGTTCTACACAAGAAAACTTGTGTAATGGAGGAGTAAAATTGAAGTAGCCTCGAAGGTAGCCTTGATCAGATAAAACGTTTTTTCACCCAAGACTGTGTTGCTAAGAACGCTCAAGCAGAAATCGAGATAAGCAAATAGGTTACAAACTTAAGAGAGAATTTAAAACACCTAAACGACAATGGAGTTTGGTGGATTCTTAAACGGTTTTTGTGACTGATCCTTGTTTCCTAAACTTTGCTCGTTCGACGCTCAGCTCTAATTTTGTGTCCATCCCCATCAAACATGTGCTATCAGATGTACACTATCAAACAGAGGTCTCTTTCAGCACTTTCATTGTGGATATGACTGGTTTGCCTGAAGTTATCTAAATAATATGAAATTATAAAAGTCTAGTAGAATGTGGAATTTTGTTAGATTTAACTCATAGGTAAGATATTAGTGTTTAATGCTCACCCTCCTGTGGATTTAAACTTCACATTTGTGTATAACCGAGACGGAACCAAGTCAAAACCAATCAAACAGCCTTCAATTTTTACGTATGCAACACGCACATCCATAGAGCGCGAATAGTTGCATCAAAGCGCCTTCATTAACGCTGTACCATGTCGATCGCTTAAAATAAGATGTCATCTCTCGCGCTGAAGAAAAACGCCCTATGAGTCATTCAACGTTACCAAGTTTCCTTTTGTATAAAACGAGTTTTCAGGGCAACTTGTGACTCTTTTTCTTCCAAGTCTTCAAAGGATTTTATTCGGAATTTAATCTGAAGTGTCTGCAAAATCCCAGGAAAAGTATTCTTAACTTCCCCTGAAAATAGATATTTTATCGAGGAACAATTTATGACCTCCTTTGTTCATGCGACGTTTTGCCTTTTATCAGAACTGCGGGGGGCGGGTGCCTCATCATGCGTTCGTTTGCATTAAACAATTCCTTTCCTCTATTCGTCTTGCACATTTTCTTGTATAATTTTAGAGATTATGCTGCGATACGAGGAAACCAATGTAACCACTTTTAGAACCTCAAAGTTTTGTACAAACGGAGTTATAAGCGTTTAAAGTTTCCAAATTTTGTCCGACCTCTCCTGATGACTCGATCCACTGTGCTAAGGTAGAACGTGGTATAAGCCACTAGGTGTTGCCAAATTTTCCTCTACAAATCACTAACTTTCAGGAAAATCTGTGGATATTTCTCCTTCAATTTTTCACAGGGTTTTGTTAGAAGTTTGACGTAAAAAGTCTGAAAATGGAGAATTTGCAAGGGTCTGAAATTTGATGAATTTCCTGTTTAAGTGGAATCCTCTGAGTGAACTGAACACGAAGATACCCTTGATTCATAAATTGAGCAATTATTAGAGGAGATATGACAAAATAACCGATTCTGCTAAAATACATGTGTTTAAATGGGAAATGCCGCCAGATGACGTCACAAGGCGGCACATTTTCTCACTTTTAAATCAATTTTTCTCCAATTTCCCATGTCAGAAAAAAATTATGAAAAATATTGCGAACTCAGCTCATTAGGCACTTTCAGATGAAGCAATAAAAAAATTGCGTGCAAATTCTCCATTCCAAGGAAAAATATTTATAACTTCCCTCATAAATAGACTTTTCATCGGAGGAAATTTGGCAACTCTCGAATGTTCATACGGCGTTCTTCCTTAGCACGGCAGTGTGCGGCGCCGAATTTCTTGGTTGCGTACGGTAGGTCTACTCCTTGGAGAAAAAAGGTCAAAGGGATGGAGATGAGTTTAGTACCTTGATACATCCAGTCGGGAATGCCGTTGCGGATGGTGGGGGAGCCGTTGGAGGTTAGCCGAAGGAGGGGGGCTCCCGGCGGGGAGCGGCGTGCCCTGGGGGCGTAGTAGATGTCGTGCTTGTAGACGAAGACCAAGGCGTTCCCGCGCGGCGACCACTGGACCAGCTCCAAACGCACCGCATCCGAGTCTTCCGTCGAGGAAATCGCTGGCGTCAGACCCGTCCGGCTCCTTAAAAAACAATACCAAACTCACATTGGATACGGCGTGTCACATGACCAGTGGAGCGATTAATGCGACTATTGAAATGGATGGACAAAGCGATAGGCACATCAGATAAACGGAAAATTGAGCGAATTGCCTGAAACGCACGGGGAAAATGGATTTCTGATTTTACAATATAATTGTTAAGAAATATGTCCATTCACATGTACATTTTACAATAAAGTAAAGCTAACTTAACCTCGGTGATGCTTAAATGAGCACTTTTTATCGTAAAATCTACATGGAAAAATTTTAGAAACTTTTTTGCAATTATGCAATTCCATTTCTTCAATGGTACAATAATTATAATGAAAGGGTCTGTCTCGGGTTGCTGTTAGTTAGTCTCTTGCTTGCCTCCTTTATCTATTTCAACCACTCGATTCCACAAATAGGATCTCCCCATTTTGCCTTTGTCTTCTTTGTCTATCGCTTTTTCCATCAATTTCATTAAGCAACCCCCTAGGAAAACAACATGAAGGCTATCCTATATTTGACCGAACAAGGCAAATCGCGCCTTGAGGTGGAGTAAATAACTTGAGATGACTATAGCACAGCTAGAAGAGGTTATTTTTGCATCGTTTTGCTCGAAGAATCCCCTCTAAATTGCATCGTGCGAGCTATAACAGCGAACGCAAAGAAAACCATAGCGCCTTCCATTTTTATGTATGCAACACGCACATCCATAGAGTACGAATAGTTGTATCGCGGCGCCTTGATGAACGTCGCATTCGCATCCTGTCAATATTGCTCAAGATATCCATTCTGCCATGATGAAGATGAACGCAGTTTGAGCTTTTGAACGTTATCAACTTGCCTCCCCCCCCCCCNNNCCCCCTATCAAATATTGATCCTTAGAGAGTATTTAGAAGTTAAAGATCAATAATGCCACCGCCAGTTTTAGAAAGAAAGTAAAATGATTGAAAAAATAATCTAGGTACAAGCCGAAAATAAATTAAACAATAATATTTCAAACCACATACAGATTGTTTGAATGTCTGTTTTGTTTCCTGTAATTTTTGTATTATTTCTCATCTCTATGTAGTTTGAAATATTATTTGTTTAATTTATTTTCGGCTTGTAGATCGATTATTTTTTCAATCATTTTACCATGTTCTATGAAAGCCAGCCAAATTGGCAATAAAATGTATCCAGAAACAAAATTGACCAGAGTTTTGAAGTAATTTGCCTCTGGACAAGGTGTGAATTAAATCGCTATACGCACCATGTTTTCTCATTAACACTGCACAAAGAATACGAATCACAAAACGGGAAGTTTAAGAATGAATTCGTATAAACGATGTGAATGTTTACAATTAACATTGGTTAGACAGCAAAAATACTAATGATGCCAATTGTATCATTTTGACTGTTGAAAATACTTCTCAGTATCTCACTCAGGATTTGATTTCGGAACTTCCCGTTGTGTGCATTATTTTCTACATTAAATTTTGAGGAGAAAACATTTGATGTTTATTCATAGTTTAGACCTTTACCCGTAACCCATTAATCTTGGACTTATAAAGCCCCAAGGCAAGTTTGAGAAACTACATGGATCGATCGCGGATACACGAACCGCGGATAATCGCGACTCTACCGTACAAGACCCTCAAGGCAAATTTGAAGAACGATATGGATCGATCGTGGATGTACAAAGCGCGGATAATCGAGACTTATAAAGACCCAAGGCAAGTTTGAGAAATTACATGGATGGATCGCGGATACACGAAGCGCGGATAATCGAGATTTTATCGTGAAATTAAAACACCCCTAGGGCTATTCGCCAGAGACACTGTCATGTGAAGTGAAGAATGGGATGAATTCAAGATTGGAGCATTAGGATTTTTCTTCAAATGAGGTGGGAACGCACACTCGGAAATGAAGGCGGTAATGACTAATGAGGTGCTGCAAGGGATACACGCGGTGCAACAAAGCAAAATTCGTCAATGCTCCCGCCTTCAGCTCCTCTTAGTCCTCGGGTTCTTTCAAGTTTTTCCCCCTCTTTTTTTACACGCACGTCTCCTTTTCTCTTTTTGAGCCACGCTCCCAGAGGCAGCTCGCGACGCAGAATTACCCGCGCGATTTTAATGATTTTAAAAATGCCCCTTTACTACGGATAAAGGAGCGTTCATAAGTCAGGTAACGCTCTAAGGGAAGAGGTTATGAGGCTTCATAACGATGCGTTACAAGGAGGAGGGGGAGGGTGCATTGAGGGAGGTGTAACTGCATTGGCCATCAATAACTTGGTGTGACCCAAAAGTTTGGTCAATGTAACCAAACTGAAATCTAAGAAAAAAAATTAACCGCAAGTTACTTTGCGGTTACTTTACGTTCTATTTCCAAAATTGACACACAACTTCGGTACCTTTTTCTTTTTAGGTGCCGCATTGCAGACTTTAACTCAACGTTTCCCGCTTCACTCAGTATGGCTTTCAATGGCATGGCGTGCTTTGCGATGTACTGATCTGCCACTTAAACATAAGGAAAAGGATCGATAAACAGGGTGTTCGCAAGGTACACCTTAATAATCGATTCTTGACCATGACTTCAAATGGGGAAATTCACTCCTCACCGTTGATGAATTTCAAGCCATTTTCCTTACGACGCAAGTTCTTCTCTTTGCTCTATCAGAAGTCCGTATATAACAGGCCCGTTTGCGTCAGTACAGTCCGAGGCAACGAACGCACAAGTTCAGAATCATTGCGCACGGTCGCGGGACAACGTTCACGTCGCATCCCACCTAAGGAACCGTGGCTTTACTCGCCCCGAGTCTCTCGGTGGTAATTAGCGTTACAGCTTTGAAAACGAGCGTTTTTATCTTTTCGGAATCAGCCGGAAAAACTGTCGGCACCGGAAAAGAAAAGGGATTCTCCCGAGCAAACATACTCCACTGTTTGAAAGTTAGTGACGGGCTATTGTCCTCGTCCAATGAGAGATTACAAACAACTTGGAGCCTTGTTGCATTTCGCTTTTAAGGTGATTCGTCAAGCTCAAGTGACGTGGTCGAACTGGCATGCGAAATGTCGCATCGATTAGGTCAAAAATCTCGGCAGATTTTGAATTTTTAGCAAAAAAAAAAAAAGGACGATAGCCCCTGCGCATAAGCCTAAAGAATCATTCTAAACCCAATAATCGGCAAAATTTAGAGTAATGAAAGGAGAAGAGTATTTGGAAAAAACTTCGCATTCTATTCAGCTATCGATTTCTGTATCGATTGCAAGGTTTTTTTCCAAATACTTTTCTGCTTTCGTTTCTCTGAATTTTGCCGATTTTTGGGTTTAGAATGATTTTTTAGGCTCATGCGCAGGGGCTATGGTCCCTTTTCTGCTGAAAATTCAAAATCTGCCGAGATTTTTTACTTAATCGATGCGATATATTGCATGCCAGTTCGACCACGTCACTCTCACTTGAGCTTGACGAATCACCCTAAGCCGACGGGAATTTCTATTAGATTTTGCAAAATTTTGATTGCGAACCTAAGATCGTATTCATGGTCGTTCATCTGTCACTTCTTTTTCCGCGGAGGTCCTATGCGATTCATATTGTAATTGAGGTTTATCATAAGTCCCTAATAATCATAGAAGATTATTGGATCCAAAATTGTGAGGAAAAATTAAGTGAAACAAAAGTTTAAGAAAGATTAAAAAGGAAGAAATAAAACAATTAGAATTGCATCACTGACAGAAAATCCTCCGCGGACTCAGTGAACAATTTTTTCATCTCAAACATCAATAGAGCTTTTTTAAATCTTCAAATTTTTCCTTAAATTTTTGTAATTTAATACAGCGTATAAGATAGTTTCAAAACAAAATATACATGCGATTTTAAGAAAATAAGTTAAGATTTTATTGAGGGTTTAGCGAAAGTCGAATGTTAATACGGCGTCTATCCTTAGTAATGTGGCATTTCGACGGTGTAAGTCGGCAATCGCATTATCGGTTTGCGACGTCGCAGACTTCTTCTCACACTTTATTTTTTGAACGGAAAACTACTCAACGGCAATTCTTTAAAACTGCCGTGATTTTTTTCCTCTGCGCGAAGAAAATGCTGCAAAAACTTCAAGGAATGATGTCAATTTGTTCTCCATTAAAAAAATAGCGTAGAAACAGAGATTTTCAGACACCGCAAACGAGTTATGTGATTGCTGACTTATACCGTCGATTTAGTATGATACTGTGCAACACCTCTGTTGCGAAATAGTTGCTTGAGGCGCACGCTGCGGCGGGCGGCTGGCCAGCGCGCAACACGCAACGCGCATTGGCGCCTACAAACCTAAGGGGATACTTCACGCATTGCGCAACGCGTGAAGTATCCCTGTTAGGTTTGTAGGCGCGGCGGCGTTTCGGGCTGCCAGCAGTCCAGCACGCCGCTCCGCTCTGTGTTAGGCTCTAATATGTATACACGTGGAGTCTGCGGTTTTCAACTCATGATTTTGAAATGTTTGCACACTCTACACGGATCATTCTCATTTAAATTGATGGGGGAAAAATATGTATTACAGAAAAATATTAAGTATGTTTTGTAAATATTAAAGAGGTTCTATGTCAAATTTAATGATTTCCAAAGCGCTTTAATTTTTTCTTCTGTGATTTGTGCTTTTACTGCGCTGCAGCGAGGTGCACGCGCAACCAAACTCTCAAAATTAAACATATCGACGGTGTAAGTCGGCAATCACATAACTCGGTTTGCGACGTCGCAGACTTCCTGTCATAGGTACTTTATTTTTTAAACGGAAAACTACTCAACGGCAATTGTTTAAAACTGCCGTGATTTTTCTTCTCTGTGCGAAGAAAATGCTGCAAAAACTTCAAGGAATGATGTCAATTTGTTCTCCATTAAAAAAATAGCATAGAAACGGAGATTTTCAGACACCGCAAACGAGTTATGTGATTGCCGACTTATACCGTCGATTTGTACGTCGGCGGAGTGTCGCATCGCGTCGACTTTGTATCTCAAACGCATCTCAATGATCGTAAAATTCCGACTCATCACGTGATAATTAGTTACTCTCCTACAAAGAACAGACGATGAGCGGAAATGTCAATTATTCAATTATTAGAACCATGCCATTAAGTTTGAACTTTAGAGTCTTTTAAGCTCCGGAGTTATTTTTGAAGTCAAACAGTGTCATTCCTCCATTTCTCGCAAAATTTCGCCGATCTTAGCAGCCGCGGAGAACGCTGGTAGAAAGAATCAAAAAGCAATTAAGAAGTTTTCTTTGACAGAAGGGCGAAACAGAAATCAACTCAATTGATATTTGCGTTCATCTCTTTGGATCTTAAAACATTTCCGCTGTAGATAAAATTCTTGTCCAAGGCGTAAGCTCCACGGCGGGATGGAGAATACAATTCGGATGAATTTAATTCGATGCCAAGATAAACTGATATTAAAAGCGACCGCTTCAGATTTTGTTCCACTAGCGTCGCGTCGTTTCCTGAGTAAAAATGTCAAAGAAAAGAAAAATGTGATCTGCAATAAAAGAGACAGCTGACGGATTACTTCTGAAATTACTCATTGGATTAAAAAGATTCGATGGGAGCATCGGGTATTATTATTTAATTCTTTTGTGTTTGAAAGCGACTGGTATTTTGAAATTGCGTTGTAAAATTAGAGACTTGAAATTTTCCGAGCTATTCGTGAACTGGAACTCCTTTTGGAAAAAAGCGAAAAAATTAATAACCGTTTCGGATTGTATGTCTTTTGGAAATACGAATACTTCTGTTTCCGCCAATATAGTTGGCCTTCTTTTGCTGAACGCAGCTTAATCGCTCAGATTTCAATGTTCAGGGTTATTGAATTAAATCGAAAACGCTCAAGTTGAAAACTTTCTTGGCATTATTTTCTGATAACCCGACGGAGAAATATTTTGAGGAATTTTATATTTTTATAATTTACTGTCATGATGTGTGTACAGTATGTAAGAACCATGAACTGACATTTAATTGTATCATTCGAATGCATGTTATTGTGATATTCGGCACGAAACGTGGGTTGGGCTGCGAAGCAGCCATGGCCAACACTCTAATACCTTTTTCAGTTTTGTTATCAACATATTAGAAAACATTGACTGGAGGAGAATGTAATTAGATCTTTTATCAATCGAGATCTCCCTAATAGTTCAGCGTCTTTCATGATTATTTTTATTTGTTTCTATTTACCACTTTTTTTCTTTTTAATTCACGGCAATGCATGCATGATGCATCCTCATCGTATCACTTAAAATTTCACTCGTGATTTAGGTTAAACTGGTCATTGTCGTTTTGTAGTGTCGTTCGCTTCTGTTGTTTTTAATTTTTAGTGGGCCTTTTTAAACAAAACGAATATTTAAGTCATCAATTACGTGGGCTGCTTTAGAAAAGCACATTTGGTTTCCAACTTGAACATTTACCCAAACATTTCACTGAATATCCCCCTGTTGTGCTTACAACCTGATTTTTAGATGTGAACATGAGTGGTAAAGTCGAAATTTTCAAAGCGCTTACGGATATGTCAATGTGTGTTGTGTGTGCACTACGGTTTACTAACGAAACGAGTATCATGGTTTATGAAAAGTATCTCACTGGTCAGAAGATTGAGGGGTACGATGCAGTGCTCGACAGGAAACGGAACAAACAGAGCCCATGCATCGCTTGTCTTGGACTTTTCCGTCCTGATTTTTATGAAGAAACTGTAGCCAGAATTTCGCGGTTAATTTTGGATTCAGGACAAGATTCCGACACGTTCAATGTGTCTCTATCATTGCCAATTAGTTTTTTACTCAGAGCTTATTCGCTCTCGTTTTTTGTTCGCCAAAAGTGGCCAGCATATTGTACGACAGAATTCTGGCCTCAGATGTCGGTAAAAGAGCTATGGAAAAATATAATTACACCAAAATTAGCTATCAAAATTAAGAAGAATTTCAATCCGACCTCCAAATTTGATATAAATGTTGAATATGTGTACACTGATGATGAGAAAGAATACCGATTCTTGTTGAATAAATTTCCAGGAAAATTTTAAAAAAATCAAATAAGCCAAACTGCTGTTGATAAAATATTGCGAAGCACTTACAGACGATGGCTTTTCAAAGATGATTTCCCGTGTCCACCGTCGGTGCCTAATGAAGTTGTAAAGTTCCAGAATGTATCCATGTATCATGCTCGTATTTTCTGCGGCGGACGTTACAATAAATGGTCGCGAAATGTCTCCCAAGCAAGATGGCACACCCAACGAAAAAAGGAGGTTATAGCCTCGGTTGAAGAGATGATAACTGATCTTGTGAAAAAAGCCTTTAGAGCTACCAAAATTAAGTTCGTGACCGCGGGAAGGGAGGATGTGGACGTAAGGTGTTTGGGACGCGGTAGACCTTTTTATTTAGACTTATTCAATCCGCAAGTCACCAAGATGACACAAGAACAACTAAACGCCGTTCAGCGAGAAATCAACACTGCTAGTCAAGGATTAATGAGAATTCAGCACCTTCAATTAATCGACACATCAGTGGTATCTCTCCTAAAAGAAGGAGCCGAATATAAGAAGAAGTCTTACTGTGCATATTGTGCTGTTTGGGGACCGACGCCTGATTTAAAACACTTAAGTTCCCTAACACCTTTTGACCTAGCCCAGAGGACACCAGTGCGAGTGATGCACCGTAGACCTTTATTAACAAGATCTCGAACAATTTATCAACTGTCTGGTACTATTGTGAAGGCGATTTCGCCGGATGGGCCCTGTTTTTTCAAAATTAATTTGACAACTCAAGCGGGCACTTACGTAAAAGAGTTTGTTCATGGTGATTTTGGCCGCACGAAACCTAACCTCGGTTCTATCTTGGGTGGTATCAAAGTGTCGGTGATTGCACTAGATGTCACTGATGTTTGCCTTGATTGGCCTCCCTCAGAGGCTTAGAGGATCTGTTGCTCCTTCAAGTTTATGATAATAATTGCTGATTAGTTAGTTGGTTATTATTGTTTAGAGACATTTCGCTACTGAGGCTGTAACTGGCGCCTACAAACCTAGAGGGATACTTCATGCATTGCGCAATGCGTCAAGTATCCTTTTAGGTTTGTAGGCGCCTATGCCCGTGTCACGCTGTTTGTCCGGCGGGCAAATGTATGTACAGCCTGTAAATGTCTTTACAGAATATATGAAAAAGTGAGTGCAAATACGAAAAAATTAGACTATTAACTTAATATATGAGAAAAAGTTTAGAATTTTGGTTGCAACTCAGGGATCATCGGAGATAAGGGGTTCGATTGACTCGCTATGATAAATGTTTCTACTCATATGTATGGTCTGGTGCAGTAAGAAAAAAACAGGTTACTCTTTGCTTAGAAGAGTGTGAACGACCTTCATCATTTTTTCATCACCTTGTTGTCTTTAAAACACTCAATTAAGTCTAATGATTCAACCAGAAAGGTTCTTGCCGAAACAACCTTGAAGAAATAAGTCATCATGGACGTAATAACTATAGGCTCTGATATTTTCCGACGGATCGATCTCTTATTTTTTAATGGAATAAAGCTAAAATCTCTAGAGCCATTATTTTTCTTTGTACAATACAATCAAGTAAAAATGTTAAAATTCTTGAAAGTTCTTAAAATTAAGCTATGCAACGAAAGAAATAAGAGGAAGAAAATTGTGAAAGAATTTGTAAATAAGGGTAGTTGTTCGCGCACAGAAAGGTTCAATTGTTTAAGTATGCAGCACGACTATCCATAGATGAAGGAAATTTGCATCAAGGTATTGAGATCAAAGTTGCAGAACGTCTATCAGTGACATGGGAAAAAGAAAAGGCGAGCTCCTTCAATTGTTTAGGTAGGCAATACAGTCATCCATAAAGTACGAATAGTTGCATCAAGGCGTTAAATTCGAAGGTTCAGAGTGTCCAACATCAACCGCGACCGAAAAGCAATTTTCTGCGTGCAGTAGGTAGACACATTTGTGAATGGGCAACCCTAAACAGCGTCTTGATTATTGAAATTGATAGACAGAGCAATAGGTAAAGAAAAGAAAGAGAAAATTGAGCAAACCGGTTGGTGAAAGCGGATGGTTGCAATTCAATGAACGAAGAAGATGTGTAACAGACTTAATGACGGCAACCTACAAAAGACCTTTTTAGTCAGTTCATCATTTCTCTTCTTGCAACCACCCATTCCTACCAATGGGATCACTCCATTTTCCTTTTGTCCTTATTGTGTGTTGCTCTGTCCATCAATTCAAAGTAATGTCAACATTTTCTGATGGGATGAGCTGATTTTCGTCAAGATGACGGATGATTGTTGCTTTGGAAAGCCACGCGGTCTGATTATTAAAATGGATAGACAAAGCTATAGACAAAGAAGACGAAGGGAAAATGGAGCGATCTTGTTGGTTACAGCGAGTGGTCGCAATGAACGTAAGTAATAGACTAAATAACATCAATTCATTAGAGAGTCTATCGTTAGTCCATCACCAGCCCCCCTCCCCCTTAGACTACAAGAACCAATCGTTTCAACCAGAAGAATCGCTCCTTGTTCCCTTTGACCGTTGATTTCTATGATCAATCCGCAGGTGACATTATTGATAGTTTCGAAAATATAAACGGGAAATGACTACACGGTTAGTCTATTACCGTAAATATTCGAAGAAACTCTGCAATCAAGGTGAGGACTTCCAAGTTTTACCGTCTATTGCCCGCCTAACGACAGAATCCTCACGGAGTTACGTAAGATTTTACAAAAGCTCGAGAGAAATCTCTAGAAGATGAAAGTTTACCGAACGGGTTGGACGTCCGGAGAATTCTTGAGTCTTGATAGCATCCTGTTTAATATTCAAGACGGGGGTTTTTCTCGACATAATTGAAATTATCGATTCAATTCATTAATTAATGAAGACACCACTCCGGGCTGTATCAGAGGGAGGCAACCGAGTCCACGGAGAGGAGCTATTTAATGGCACTTGCACTAGCTATTCCAAGAATGCCAACGGACAAGGCAAAATTAATGTCAACATTTTCAAATAGGTTGAGATTCTTTTCTTGAAGGTGCCGATAAAAAACGTCACGTTGAGGAATATTCGTCACATAATCAATAGTTTCGTTGATTTAAACGGCACGATCGGAGCATTTCCATCAATATTCGACTGCCCGCTGGTACATTGATGGACCAATCATTATTACTTCATTTCCTGTTTAAATCGACGGGAATTTTTATTGTGTAACCATAACCGGTTTGTAGAACAACAGCACATTATTCATCAGTCATCAACAAATGAAAATTATTGATTTCCAAAATTTCCCTGGTAAAAATTGGCAGTAGAATTTGTGTTCCAAAATACCATAGACCTACAGCCGGCTGTAAGATTCCCAATAGCTTCTACAGCCGACAACACTATTTCTTACAGTCTTTTATAGCCGATGGCGATTATGCAACAGCCTGGCGATAAAGTGTATGCTAAACGTTACTAATTACGGATGATAGGACTTAGTGAGTTTTTGGACTACTGCTCTCTTTTTGAGCCGCAGTATCTTGATTTATTTTGCGAGGAAAGCTCCGTACTTTTGGAGGACGCCTGCCATTCCTAATATGTTGGAGCGCCTTCAATTTCGTATGATACTGTGCAATACCTCTGGTGTGAAATAGTTGCTTCAAGCGCCGTGGTACGCTGAGGCTCGGCGGGCGGGCAGCCAGCGCGAAATGAGTATTGGCGCCTTTAAACCTAACAGGGATACTTCACGCATTGCGCAATGCGTGAAGTATCCCTGTTAGGTTTGTAGGCGCCAATGCGCCGCAGCTCCGCTTTGTGTTAGGCTCTAATATTTAATCTCATGGAGTCAGCGTTTTTCAACTCATGACTTTGAAATGTTTGCACACTCTGTATGGATTATTCTCATTGTAATTGATGAAAAAAAGAATGTAGTAAAGGAAAATATAATGTGCGTTTTGTAAATATAAAGGTGATTCCGTACAAACTTAAGGATTTACAAAGCACACGAATTTCTACACAATTTCTTAGGTATAGCCTTTTATAGCCGATTGCAAAAAAGCAACAGTCAGGCGATAAAAGGCAAAGCCCGGTGATAGCCCGGCTGCATAATTTTTTATCGCTTCGTGTAGCCCGGCCGTATGACTTTTCCACGTTCTACAGGCAGCTATATGATTTTCTATCGACTTCTTCAGTCGGCTATAAGAGCTCCTATGGTATTTTGAAACGCAGCTCCTATCGCCAATTTTTACCAGGGTTGCATGGTGTTCTCAAAAATTTTCCAGAATTGCAATAATGATTTTATAGAGGAAACAGAAGCTGTGCTGTGTAGACGATAACGAGAGCTATTACGTATGTGACGAGATGACAGCGATTCTTAGGTTTTAAACGTGGGAAAATAGAGCAGTCCTTCCGGTTGAAACGTGTGGTTCTTATGGGCTAAGGAGTAAGGGGGTAAATAATGGAAAAACTATAGGGTCTCTCGTGGGTTGCTGTTGTTAGTCTATTACTTACCTATTTTCTTCGTCAATTGCGATTAACCGCTTGTGATTGGATCCATTATTTTGTCCAACCATTCCATTGTCTTCTCCTCCTATTGTTTTGTCTATCAATTACAATAGCTTGTGGGTAGTCAAGGCCTGCCCGCACTGCGCACGCAGTGCCGTGAATATAAGTGTGAATTTTCCTAGGAATTTCCAGCTAAAATATATACTTTCTCAGGAAACTTTGGCAGACACACGCACACGCACCCTCACAATCACTGAGCACTCACACTTTGAAAAGCCATTTAGAACATTCTCGGGAAACTTGGTTTTCATTCCCGTTAATTTTACTATTTCGTAAAAGTTCCCTTCTACTTGTCCGCGATTGGACCGCAAAGCGGTCAGAAGAGTCCATTATAATATGCAAACTTATATGCAAACTTATTGTCTGCGTCACCAACCCGAGAAACTACGTACTTTTAAATGGACGTATTTCTATCAAACAGAACTATGTGCAGGTGAGAAATATGGGGTGTGCTCATTAGCTCTCTGGCCGTAAGAGCCCTTATGAGCTCTGTCCAGGAAGCTCTCGTTCCATCCCCGCGGCTTATGAATCCCGCATCCAGTTTGCACATAGTTCTGCTTGCTCAATTTGAAATCCCGCTTTTCCAATTGAACGTATTTCTATCAAACGGAACTAAGCGCCAAATTGAGTTCCTTTTGAGGGTTTTAGAATCCCGGACAGCGCGTTCTGTCAAACGGAACTAAGTGCCATGGAGAAAAATTGCAAGTATAGGACGGAACGAGCATCGCGTTCTGCAACACCCAATCCAAGCCCCCAGCTCCCCCTCCCTTCCTCACCCTATTGCTCTTAGTTCCGTTTGATAGAAATACGTCCTATCCTTCATAAGGAACCACGTCCACTTTTACATTTTTTCTTATGAAGCTTTCTAGAGCACACCCCATATTTCTCACCTGCACACAGTTCTGTTTGATAGAAACACGTCCAAATTAGCAATCATGAAAAAAAAGTTGAAAACACGACGGAGACAGAAAGCTGGAAAACACAGGCTGAGGGAATTAGTTGGAATTTCTGGTATGGAGAGAGGCAAGTTGACTAAAGTCATCCGAGAATGATTTCAGTGGCGTGCGTTAGACTAACCTCTGCTCCTGGCGGCGCTGAAGCGCAAAAGAGGAAGCGGAAAAAATTAATTGACGACTCGAGGAAATGCAGCGCAACTTCCGTCGGATCCGCATCAGTATTGCCAACTCTCCCGCCCAAAATTCCCCATCGCTCATAAATTCCCTCTTGGAGAACCTCGCGAGCCGACACCGTCCCCTGAAATAAAACCTGGGAGCATAATGAATGGGCGAGAGTTGAGGTCTTATCAAACTGCGCGACACGACGCCCTGTTGTCAAATCGCTCGAAAATCACCCGTTAACTGATTCGATCCCTCGGAGGACAATTCAGAAGTTGGCAACCGTGCGAGGCGGAGCACACATCTGACTACTTTGAGGAACTCAACTCGCGGCGAAGTTTTCGTGGCACCTGGCTCCGAGAAGTGTCAGCATCCTCCTGGCGCCGAAAGGAGAAACCGCGTATCCGGTCGTTGGTTCTCGTTGGACTTGAGCGGTTTTGGAACGGCGCGGCTGCCTTAAGATCTGTCTCGGCGGTAACTTGGCGGATTACAATTGCGTGCAGCTGACAGCGAGCTTAAAGAGTGGCGGATTCTTGGAAAGCTCCTATTGACGTAATTTCGTGCATTTCCACGTCGTGATTACCTAATCTCATCAAACTTGGGGCTCTGCAATGGGGTGGGATATACTTTGACCGATTGAGCAGTCTTCAGTCTTCGGGAGACAACGGCGGTTCCCTCCTCTTCCAGTGGTGTCATTTAGGGTCGGAGAATTGCTCCTCCTCTCCCCCTTTGGAAATTAGGCCTATTTCGGGATGACTCTTGAAAAAGCTTTCAGAGCTGCTGTCCCATTCCTTCTCACTTTCTCGTATGCGACAAAATAAAATGACCCGACAAGAGAACGACGGTGTAAGTCGGCAATCACATAACTCGGTTTGCGACGTCGCAGACTTCCTGTCATACTTTATTTTTTAAACATAAAACTACTCAACGGCAATTCTTTAAAATTGCCGTGGTTTTTCTTCAGTGTGCGAAGAATATTCTGCAAAAACTTCAAGGAATGATGTCAATTTGTTCTCCTCTAAATAAATACATACATACATATTATCTTTTCGCTTTCTTTTCACAGCATGGCTGCCTACAGTGCACTGAAAGAGATAAAGAGCGCAGAAAGTTCTCTTGATTGGAGTCGTAGTGTGTGCCAATTCGGTTTTGGGGCGCCTTCAATTCGAGCGATACTTCCCGCACATCCTTGGAGTTAGTTTAGTTGCGTGACCTAACTTAACCCAACGTCGCCAAATCGTCGACGAGTTCTAACCTCATTTGGAAACAATCGCGAAATTTTCTCACGCAAAGGGCTTGACAAGGCGCACGAGTGTAGTTTAGAAACAAATTGATAAAATAAAGATTTCATCCAAAAGCGTTAAAACATAACTGTGAAAAATTCACGACAAAAACACTATCTTTAAGCATCAAAAAATGAGTTTGAGCTTCCTTTCCACTGTTAAGCTCCGTGTGATTTTGAAAATTACACTCGTATTTCTTAAAATAGCAAGAACTACACTTACGTGCTTGTCCTATAAGTTTCTTATATATTCTAACATTTTTCTGCACATTGTGAAATTGATCATGTGTGTATGTAGTCACGAATTTGCAAAATTTTGAATTTTTTTATTTCCGTTACGCGAAGAATCTGAATTGTTTTATTTGTACTTACCCTTCATAAAATATGTGAAGACAATGGTGATTCGACGTGCGCCATATTTTGTGTCAGAAGGACGTGCGATATATTTATCGCAGCGATTGGTTCCATTTTTTCAGCTATTCGTCATTTTTCTCGAATTTTGAGATCGAAATTCCGTTGTCAGGAGATGAATTTTGCTGTCAATGAATTCACTTACCAATTTTGACCAACCAATTCAAGTAATAAAGGCGTGGTTTTCTCGAAGGAAAAATATCGCATTCGAGCGCAGTTTCGATATCAGTATTAAATGCGATATTTTTCCTACATAGAAAAATACATAGAGGCAAAGATTTTCAGACACCGCAAACGAGATATGTAATTGCCGACTTACACCGTTGAGAAGCATGTTTCATTGGTTTTTTTCTTAAGTGAGTTTTTCCCAAAGTGAACCCAGCTGCATAGGCGAGTTCTGGGAGGGCGTAAGGGGAGTGCGCCCTTCCCCTGTTCGTCGAGGAGAAAATAGGGAAGAAAGAAAGACGGAAGAAATGGAAGAGAGAAGAGGGACATTCACAATTGTTTATCATTCAAGACGAAATCAACTCAAACTGCATATTCAATACCTTAAAAATTCGACAATTTTCCGTAGGGAGCCCCCCAGATCACCCCCGCCCCCCTGTTCGAAGTGTCTGGGTTCGCCTACGCCCAGCTGGATTCTGGGGTTTCCAAAGAATTTCGAGTAAATCATCGTTTTTTCTAAAGTCTAGTGACTGTTTAAGACTGACGCTCATGAAAAATCAATAATTATTTAGCAGTGAATACATCCATGGCTTCGAAAATATCAAAATCTTAAGTTATAGAAGGCTTTTAGGGAGAGTCAGGGGATTTTGGATCTTCTAGGGGACGAAACTTGATTTTTGTTTTTTTTTTTTGTTGTTGTCTTCGTTCACTGTAAAGTTTCTTACGACTAAAGACCGAGGACCTCTTGAAACTCCTCTCAGCTTAAGATTCTGATATTTTTGAGGTCATGGATGAGTTCAGCGCTAACAATCAGGTAATAAATTATTTTCCATGAATCGATAACCGTCGCCAAAATCGAGGGAAAGTGTCAGTCTTCCGTAAAATTTTAGGGAAGCTTCCGCTCGAGGAACTTAGCAGCGGCGTTGTCTCTGGTGTTTTTCGTGCGTGAGGGTTGGCTGCCTTTTTGGATCTCAAGTGCTTCATGTTTTTACACGTTCATACTCTCCCTATACAGAGTCCCTTTACACTGAGAGTTAAGACAATCTGAATCCATTTCTGATTGGTTCCAAAAGTCACAAATGGGAATAAAAATAACATTTTCACCAATTGCAAAGATTATAATCTGGAATGGACCAAGGAATTACGGGTTTGACAAGAACAAACGGAATGAGAGAGGGAACGGAGAAAGGAATTTGAGAATGGGCTGATCAAAGATTATGAAAAACTTTCAATTTGTGTAATTTTTACTCCCGTTTTTGACTCCATGAAGGAGGGGTGGTCTTAACTCTCAGTATAATGGGACTCTACTCTAACCTCACCAAAAATCGATTTTTACAATGCATCGAAATCCACGAAAAACAGCACTGCCAACTTCCGACGGACTCAACTGGTGCGGAAAATAAGATTTTCTCTCAAGTACACGCGAAGCCGTCAACGAACCGCAGAGATCAGAAAGAAAAATTTTAAGGGGGCCGCGTGGGGGTGGAGGGGGGCAGAAATCACGCAAACAAAGGAGCAACAATAAAACCCACCGCTCAGCGCCCGAAACGTTTTTTCCCTCTTATGTACGTCGACAGGGGCGGCGGGTGCTGGGGGGTGGGGGTATTCCTCGGTGCCTTCGATCATTGGTCCCGCGGCGTGGGAATGAAACACCACGTCGCTGGAAAGAAATCGGGGTACTTGACGAGTAAAAAATGGGGGGCTTTGCCGCGGGCCGAGGCGGCTGGATGGATTGAAATACGCAGCGTAGCTCGCCGCCCCTCTGACGTAAAGACGTAAGTACACTTCACGATGATCCCTGTCGTCCATATAACTTAACTCTTTTCAGAGCTCATCTCGTAGTGGAGTTACGCTCTTTTGCGATGCGAGCGGGGATTTGTCGGCGGACGCGTCGCGGCGTCGGGCGTCGCGTATCGCCGACAAAAATATGCAAAGCGTCCTCCTCAAAGAGTGCCATTTGCACGCCGAACCGGAGAGGGGATTGAATTAAAGAATGAGCAAATGGGAGCCTTTATTTTTATAGCGTCGATCAATCAAAGACGACGCGTCAAAGGCCCGGGAAACGCCGCCTACGTGCGGCCGCGCCGGGGAACAAAGGAGATGAGGAAAATTGGATACGTACTGAGTAGCGATTTCGTAAACGTGGTATTTGGCAGTCCTCGTGTTCGTGTACACCTGCAACAGACAATCAACACAGATCCATCAGAATTATAATCCATTTGAAGAAAACGGTAGGACAAGACGTTGTGCAAGTGGATGAAAGATGGGGTGCGCTCGTTAGTTGAGGGCCATAAGAATGAATGGGAATTTTAAAACGCCTATGACGTCAGCGGCGAAGAAACCGCCGTCGCCGAGAATTAACTCATGAGCCCTGTCCACAAGGTTCTTGTCACATGTCCACGGCTCACGAGTTAGCCCTCAGTTTCTTTTTATTTAATGGAAAATCCCGCTTTACATTGTTTCTTATCCAGCTCACCTCGAGCACATCCCATCTTTCCATTTGCACAAAGTTCCTTTCAGCATAAATACGTCCAATTCGCTGTTATTGCAAGACCGCGACTGAGACGTTTCAATTCATGAGAGGAAACCAAGTGCAACATGATTTTCATGATATCTCATAGAGAGTTATGCTTGCGCTTTAAGTACTGATTCCTCTGTAAAATTTCGCGAGAAACACGATGGTGTCACTAGCTCTCTCTGCAATACACTTCAAAGCCCAAAAAAGCTAAAAGTTCAGGCCAAGATGGAGAGGATTTCTTATGTTGAGAGTGCACCTCTACCATCAGGTCAAACTCTCTATGCAAAGATAGGAAGCAAATACATTAGCAGGGTTGCCGTGTTTCCAGTTTTGGAGTCTCCAAATCAAGTGACAACCCTGTTAGGTTAGGTTTTCGTGTATCTCGCGAAATGGAGAATTTGCATGCAAATTTTTTATTGCTTTATCTAAAAGTGCTTAAGAGCTGATTTCGCAGTATTTTTTATAAATTTTTTCTGATATGGAAAATAGTATAAAAATTCATTTAATGAACCGAAAAATGATATCTCCCTCAATACCGCTTCAACCTTGAGAGCTTTTTTGGGCTTTAAAGTTGACTCCAGAGAGGACCAGTGGCACCACCGTGCATCTCGCGAAATAGAGAATTCACATGCAAATTCTTTATTGCTTTATCTAAAAGTGGTTAAAGAGCTGATTTCGCAGTATTTTTTATAATTTTTTTCTGATACGGGAGATAGTATAAAAATACATTTAAAAGTGGAAAAATGCACCGCCTATAGTGAGGTCATCTGAGAGCATTTCCCATTTGAACACATGTATTTTAGCAGATTAGATCATGTTGTCATATCTTCTCCAATAATTGTTCAATTAATAATTAAATAATTGTTCAATTTATGAGCCAAGGGTATTCTCGTGTTCAGTTCACTCAGTAGTTTCCACTTAGACACGAAATTCATCAAATTTCAGACACCTGCAAATTCTCTATTATACATATGAGCCAGTATTTAAATCGGAAATTTCTGACACATGCAAGAGCTCCATTAACTAGTGCGACCCTCATTTCCTACTTTGTACCCTTTCATTGAACATTTCCTATTTTTTCATGCTCAGTTTCTCTAGTTCCCAAGCCAGGTGAGTAGCCTGATAATGAGCTGAAAATCGATGGAACAAATTGAAACGGCTACTGCCTCGTCCTAAATTCTCCGGAGCGATTTTGAAACAAGAGCAACACGCCCGGGTCACCCTGCGAGCCTGGCAGCGGCAAGCTGTTTTCTAGCTTCAGTCCCACGTATAATCTGGTGGATAGCCATGTAATAATTTAAAACCACCCGATGGCCTCTAATTAAAAAAGAGGGAAAAAAAGTGCCAAAAAACTTTCAACTCTCTTTGAACTCAGTTCATGCAGAGAGGCAGGTTACGCTGGATCCTCCTGTCGGACCTGGCGTGTGAGTGGGAAGAGAAAAACTACTTTGATCTTTTTCAAAGCATCGAAATAATTAAAATAAGGACTACAAACCTTCAATAGTGGACTTTTCAAATGAAACTAGGACGTATTTATGCTAAATGGAACTTTGTAAGTGGAAGTGGAGGGATGAAGTGTGCTCGTGGAATCTGGATAAGAAACAATGTAAAAGTGGATACGGTTCCTTTTGAGAAAATGGAAAAGCGGGATTTGACATTAAATCAAAAGGAACTGATCGCTAACTCGTGAGCCATGGGCATGTATCTAGAGCCTTGTGGACAGGGCTCATGAGTTAAGGACGACCAAGAACAACGAAGGGGGCGGCTTCTTTGCTGCTGACGTCACTGGCGCTTTAAAATCCCCATTCATTCTTATGGCCCGAGCACTAACGAGCACACCCCATCTTTCTACTTGCACACAGTTCCATTTAGCATAAATACGTCCACTTGTGATAAATGAGGGCGATATCACTTGGTGAAAGAACAATATGTTTTATTATTACCTCACACTTCAAAACTGGCGACTAGCCGGTGATTTATCTGATTAATTTCCTAACTCACTTCAGACATGCAATGATCGGTTTACTGCCTTGAGGCGAGGTTACGTCGCACAGTCTAATCGGAAATGACTACTATGTGATGACTGGTTTGAATATATGTTTTTCTGCCGTCATATCGATCATAAATTTCCCCATTTGAGGCTGCGGTAAAGAATCGATTATTAAGGTGTTCATTGCGAACACTCTGTTTATCAACCTTTTTCCATAGGTTTAAATGACAGGTAAATCGATACATCACGATGCACGCCACGTCACTGACGTACAGGTTAAAATTTGAACTAAATCGATTGTACCTAGAATGCATTGCACAAAAGCTGCGAATCTATCTTCAGTACATCACTTTTGGGCTTAATTCCATTGTGTCTCGGGAAACCTGAAAACGCCTTCAATTGTGCTTGATACTGTGCAACACTCAGGAGTTGAAATATTTGTATCAAAGAATTGAACCCAACGTCAGTAGTAAGACTCTATTCAGAGTTGCGTCGCTTCGTAGCCGTTGCTTTATTGGTGGTTCCGTGCTGTGGCCCGATAGTTGTTTTCGAGGAACTGATGACCAGCGGGCTGATGATTGAAATTGATAGACAAAGCGATAGACAAAGAAGACAAAGAAATTATGAAGAGATCTTATTGGTTGAAATGGGTGGTTCTCATAGACTAAGCGAGGAAATGCTGGACTAACTATAGGGTCTCTCGTGGATTACCGTTAGTTAGTCTATTACCTACCTCCTTTGTCCATTGCAACCACTCAATTTCACCAATAGGCTCACTCCATATCGACGGTGAAACTACCAAACCACGTATCTCGGTTTGCGACGTCGCAGACTTCCTGTCATACTTTATTTTTTAAATGAAAAACTACTTAACATCCAGTCTTGAAAATTTCTGTGATTTTTCCTCTTTGTGCGGAGAAAATTCCGTGAAAATTTCAAGGAATGATATTGATTTGGTCTACTTCAAAAAAATAAAATGTGATCGTAGATTTTTAAACATCGCAAACGAGATACGTGGTTTGGTAGTTTCACCGTCAATATCCTTTTTGTCCTCTTTGTCTATGGTTTTATCTATCGATCTCAATAATCGGCTCGCAGACGAGACTGGCACCCCAATGCATGTTTTCTCATTACAATTCTGAGCAGAACACAATGATCACATTTATAATTTTCGAATCCCACCGATAAAGGAAGTAGATCGTATTCCAGGTCCGCGAATTTGAATGCCTCGCTCTGAGAAGCACCAAAGTTTGCTGCGGCTGATCTGGCGCTACTTATACTAATTTCAACGAGTTTTAAACGACCGAGGGGTTTTCTCGTCGCTCCGATTCGCGACTTGGGAATTTTACGAGTGCAGTGTAAAGAAGGGGAAGGAAGTTTGTAAAACTTGACCGGGCTGAATGCATTTCATTCAAGAGTGGTGGTCTTACGACTCATAGAACTATTCCTGCACGCAAAATTTCACCAGAAACTGGTTTCCTCTGCAGTTAACTTCTCAGCTCAAAAGATAGCTTGCAAAGTTGAGACAGTAATGGTGATTCAAGTTGCGTACTGATGCTGAAACAGCAAAACCACGAATCTTGATTGCGGAGCTTGCAAATCTCCACTCATGTTGTATTTTTTCACGAGTATACTGCCCGAATTTTCGGCGCTAAATTTTCAGAGAACACTGTTGATAGAACGAGAGAAAATTAAACAAAACATGTTCAAGAGAGATGGTCAGACTCTCTTTCAAAAAGTCATAAGTATCTTTTACTGAAACGCTTAAAACGCCTTCAGTCACGCCTGATACTGTGCAACACACAGGAGTCGAAATATTTGTATCAAAGAATTGAACCCAACTTCAGGAGTAAGACTCCATTTAGCGTTGCGTCACTTCGTAACCGTTGCGTTATTGGTGGTTTTGTACTTTGGCTCGATAGTTCATTTTATTGAAGAAAACGTAGCAACATTATGGCTTGAAATTGTGATAGAAGATTCTTCCCGCGGAGGGCAAAAATCGGGGTCGGACGTTGAATATTTTACCATTTAGAAATTACATCATTATAGGGAGCCTGCAATGGTGTAGCCTCACAAACTGAGGCATGTTTTTGCAGTTTCACTATCGAAATAGAATGCATTTCATATAGTGTTAAACTCACGTGAGTGTGTCAAGGAGGGTGCCCAGATATAAATAAATCCCTCACACGGCGTGATTCCTTTGAGCGGTGAAGGAGCCTACATTAGAGCTCGAAATGTTTCCCACGGGTTGTGCCACGCAGTAGCAAGGGAAATACAGCTGAAGTAAGGAAAAACACCGTATGAGCATTTGAAAGTTGCCAAATTTCATCTTATAACACATCAATTTTCTAGAAATTTTGTGAATTTTTTTCTTTAATTATATTTTTAAGGAAGACATTCACAGGTATACCTAGCATTCCCGAAAAGGTCAAGACGTATTATTCGATTCCTCCCTCAAAATTAAACATTTTGTAGAGGGGAATCAGGAAGCACTCCAATGTTCATACTACGTTCTTCCTTAGAATGACCAGAATAGATTCCCAGCGCATAGCGCTATGTATAATCTATAAGCACGGCTGAAAGATCATGAATAATTGATTTCCATCGCTATAATTGTTTGCCAATTAGCCAGCCCGCCGTTCCGTTTGGCAAGCTCCGTCATTGGTC